TCATTGGTTTGTATTCTGTTTCTGAAACAACAGGAAAAAGCCTTGCTGGAGTAGTTAAAGATGTGCTGCTGAGATTAAACTTACCAAGGCATGGTTTACGAGGTCAAACTTATGACAGGGCAGCTAACATGTCTGGGAAGCACGCTTGTGCACAAGCACTGATAAAACAAGAGCATTCACTAGCACTTTATGTTCATTGTGGAGCCCACTGTACTAACTTAATTGCACAGAAAGCTTGCTTAGCCTCTGTTCTGATCAGAGACTCATTGGATTGGGTCAACCAGCTTGGAGTCCTTTTGTCTCATTCAGGGAAGTTTAAGGCTATCCATGCAGCTATAGCACATGCAGAGAATCCATCATGCACTGCCATAAAACCCCTCTGTCCCACAAGATGGACAGTACGGGGCAAAGCCATCACAGCTGTTTTGTCACAGTATGGGTCAGTGCTGGCTAGCTTGCAGGATGGCATGTGGTGCCTCTAATACTGCATCTACTGCTAACGGCCTGCTAGGGCAGTTTAGGAAAAGCAAAACAGTTTTGGGTCTCCTCCTTGCCTCACCAGTAATTTGTGAGCTTGAATGCCTGAACATCTCTTTTCAGAAGAGAACTGAAACCATTGCTGGCATGAGGGCTGCTGTCTAAGTTGTGAGGACCTCACTCAAGGCCAAGAGAGATGAGGCAAGTTTCAAAGCTCTGTTTTAAGAGGCAACGGCTGTGGTTCAGTCTTTAGGCATTCAGCCCATTACCATTCCACAGACCAGACCGCCCCCAAAACGCTTCATTGAAGGAGCTGAGGAAACATCAGCCTAAAAGTGCCAAGGACCACTACAGAGGTGAATTCTTTAAAGTCCTGGATGTTGTAGAGGCACAGCTCAGTGAGCTATTTAACCAGGATGACTTGCTGACTTTGCAAAAGTTGGAAAAGACCCTTCTGAGCGGAGAGATTGATGCTGCAGTCATTGAGAAATACCCAGAGTTGAACAGAGAGTCACTTTCAGTGCAGCTTTCTATGTTTCTCCTGAACTACTCATTTAGCAACAGTTCAGAGGCTGCAGGGATCATTCGTTGATTGCCTGTAGAGGTACATAGACTATTTGGGCAAGTGGAAACCCTGGTCAGGTTGCTTTTGGTAGTACCTGTTTCATCCTCTGAGGCAGAGAGAAGTTTCAATGTCCTCCGCTGGCTCAAAACTTGGCTCCGGTCTACAATGACTCAAAACAGATTTAACCATGTTGCTGTCTATCATGTCCATCAGGATAAACTTGACTTACTGGACAAGAAGTCAATTTGCAAGCAATTTGTGGCTGCAAATGACACGAGTAAAAAATATTTTGGCTCCTTTGCCTAGGCCAGTGTTTTTCAACCTTTTGTGTGCCACAGCACATGTTTGACACTGAATAATCACACAGCATGCAAATTATTAAATGTAGGACTGTGCAGTTCTATCCGACTTTTATTTGTGACAGAAAACTACACAGGAATTGATATTTATCAGTTCATTACATCCATTCTAATGTATTTTCCTTTACCTTTATAAATGTATCTTTTTAGTAGAATAAAATATATTTGTGAATGTTTTGCAGTGTAGTTAATTTATGATGTATTTCTGCTCAAACCAATTTACGGATCTGTCAGGTTTCCGATATGTGTCCCCCCCCCCCAATATTAAACTCATTCCTACGCCCTTGATTAAAACGCTGCCATCTATTGATACTTTTACTTGGATTAGTGCTAAAATGGATGATCTGGAGGAACAAGTCTGCCCGTCCAGAGGACAGGGGCATGAGACCCCCGGGGAAAAATATGACAAGCATCCTAGCTCTAAGCCCCTAAGGAGCCTCCATCAAACCCTTCTGACCCATATTGTGTTGTGCTCCTCAGCTAGAAGAACCAGAGGGAGGGCAGGACGTTGCTGAGTTTAGTTGGCTTTCCTCCAGTTTGCACACACCCCTGGACTTTTTCACTGTTTTCCCCGGAGGTTTTGTGCCCCTTCCCTCCGGACAGGTGGACTTGTCCTTCCATTTTAGCATCAGCCCTCGACAAAGTATCAACAGACAGCATCGTTTTTATCAACATTTTCAAGTTGAAATAGACAACTTCTCAGCTAACTTAGCTAGTATGCTTGTTGTGCTAGCTAACGTGTGTGCTAGCGCTAAAGTGCTTGCTGTGCTAGTTAATGCTGGTGGCCAGAAACAAACTTTGTTAGTTAATTATGCTGTAATTTAAACAAGGAACAAATTTTCTCTTGGTGGTCCTTTCTGAAATGAGCAGTTGAAGTTACTATATTCCATTATGATTGGGGGTTGATACTTAGACACTAGCTAGCACTAGCATAGCTAGCTAGTTGAAATGTTGACTACTCCCACTACTGTGAATTGGTTGGCTGAATTTAAAACTGATAAGTGTTCAGCTGACAGGTGATTGTGAGCCTATGTTTGGCCACATTAAAAAATGATTGACAGAGACTCCGTCCTCTCGAACTCGCGCACATCTAAAATGGTGGCATTGAAACTGGCACTTGCGCACTTCTAAAATGGTGGCTCTGAAACTGCGCACGTCTAAAACAGTGGCTCTCCGGCTCTACAGGGGGATAATATTGGCTCCTGTGCTCAGACACGTCACGTCAATAGAAACCGAGGGGGCACATGCCCCCTCAGATTTGAGGGATGATTTTTTTTTTTCCAACCAATTTTATTTTACTTACTTTACCTTACTTATTATTTTACCATCTAGCTATGATCAGTGGTCATATTGAGTGAAATGTATTCTAAATAATCTCCTTCATCTCAGGCCCATTTAGTGGCCATAACTTGCATAAAATGCATAAATGGTAATTTACGCATTATTTATTAGGATTTAGGGGAGATTTCCTGTTAGTAGTGATCACACAC